TGGAGGCCGCGGAGTGGAATCCCCGAGCCACTGATCACATGAGCCGAGTGATCAGGGTCGACGATTCTATTCTGTCGGATCCTCATGTCGCAAATGCAGTGAGTGAGACACTGCACTTCGAGGCCGACATGGAGGCTCATAGGGGGCGATCAACCAACGTGTTGTTCCGCTCCATCATCCAGAACTCCCTGGTGGTGAGTTTATTTTTGCTTTGGTTTCTTCACTCTTGTTTTCCATTTTTGTGATTAACACTTTTTCGTTCCTTTGCAGGCTGCCCAGCAGATCTCCATCATAGCTGCTCGGTACCACGGGTCTAGGATGGACCTCCAGAGGGCCCGAGGCCAGAAGGAGGAGGAGAAAGCGGCCCTGGCCCGGGCAATGGAGGATGTGGCTGCCAGGGATTCTACCTTGGCGGGGCAGGCTGCTCAAATAGAGCAACTCCTCAAGGACGCCGAGTCGGCAAAGGTTGGCGCTGAAAAGCTAAGTGCCGCCCTTGCCAATGCTGAGAGGAGGGTTACCGAGCAAACGCAGCGGCTTTCTGCTGCTGAGGAGAGGGCCGTGGGCTCTGAGGAAAGCTGCCTGGCCCTTACCCAGGAGCTGGACAGGATCAGGGCCGAAGAGCTGAACAGAAAATCGGAGGAGCAACTTCGGGAGGAGTTTGCCGATGATGTGTTTCCTGCTCTTGAAGAAAATAGTAAGGAATTCTTCAAGAAAGGGTGGGACGAGGCGCTCCAGTCTGCTGGAATCCCCTCAGACTCCCCGCTCTTCCAAATGCACAAGTATGTGCCCTCGGTAGAGATGGCACGGGCCGAAGCGGAGGTCGCTGCCGAGGATGAGGCTCCAACACCAGTGCAAGTCTCGGCGGATCCGCCCGAGCCGGTGATAGTGGATCTGTCCGAGGACGCCCCGGTGGACCACGCCCCTGATCCTCAAAATGCACAGTCTCCCTGCGGCCGAGGTACCTGCCCTGCCGGCTCCAGAGGCTTCTCAACCATTTTTTGCCGACTCGTCCTCGGCTGATGTTCTGGAGATGCCTGGAGCCAGATGACAGTCTTTTTCTTTTTGATTGTATCTCTTTTGCTTTTCTTTTGTAGCCTCTGGGGACGCAAAGCCCCTTTTTCTTGCAATGAAACGAATACTTCTTTCCTTTCTCTGTGTACAGTAATGTTTTGCCTTTCTTTCCTTCTGTGTACAATAATTCACAAGTATTTTTGAACTGTCTTCAGGGC